GAATTTTTTGCGAAAAATTGTAAAAAATGCGTTTTTCTTTACCTAGTTGTGTTTCAGTGCTTTCGCATCGATTTTTTTTCAGCTTGGGCAATTGTTGCTCAGAACAATAAGCGCAACAATCTAGACAACGTCCCAGGAAACAGGAACGTCAATGCGTGGGTAAAAATTCAAAGGACGCATCAGAAATCAAAACCCCGTGTTGCGAATTGCTGGTCCTGGAGCGAAAACTTGCACTTGAAAAGCAGCCAAATGAAAGCGTTTTTATTCGGTTTTTAGCAGTTGTTTTTGCTTTTTTATCTGTTTTACTTCATTTTCTCTTTTCTGATTATCTTTAAACAACATTCACTATTTATGACGTCAGATGTTCAAACAACCTTCACTTTTGACGCCTTGTCTCTAGACTATCGAAGGTATGCTACGAACAACAAATAAAAGTTGTACGGCAGCCCCCTTTTCTAAGATGTGGTTACCATAGTTGAGCAATTCTCTTGTCGAAGCCTCAGGGGTAGAGCGTCTGTCTAGTAAACAGAAGGTCGCTGGTTCGATTCCAGCATGAGGCATCGTTTTTTTTTCGAGAACCAAATAACGGGAAACGTCTTCCTACGAACAACAAATAAAAGTTGTACGGCAGCCCCCTTTTCTAAGATGTGGTTACCATAGTTGAGCAAGCTTTCTGTTGTCGAAGCCTCATTGGCTCAGGGGCAGAGCGTCGGTCTTGTAAACCGAAGGTCGCTGGTTCGATTCCAGCATGAGGCATCGCTTTTTTTTCGAAAACCAAATAACAGGAAACGTGTTCCTACGAACAACAAATAAAAGTTGTACGGCAGCCCCCTTTTCTAAGATGTGGTTACCATAGTTGAGCAAGCTTTCTCTTGTCGAAGCCTCATTGGCTCAGGGGCAGAGCGTCTGTCTAGTAAACAGAAGGTCGCTGGTTCGATTCCAGCATGAGGCATCTTTTGTTCGAAGACTGGATTATGAGCTTGTGTAGCACTGTCCGTAGTAATGCGAGTCGAGCCATAAATTTAACGTGCATCGATAAAGCTGAAGCCTCATTGGCTTAAGGGCAGAGCGTCGGTCTTGTAAACCGAAGGTCGCTGGTTCGATTCCAGCATGAGGCATCGTTTTTTTTCGAGAACCAAATAACGGGAAACGTCTTCCTACGAACAACAAATAAAAGTTGTACGGCAGCCCCCTTTTCTAAGATGTGGTTACCATAGTTGAGCAAGCTTTCTGTTGTCGAAGCCTCATTGGCTTAGGGGCAGAGCGTCGGTCTTGTAAACCGAAGGTCGCTGGTTCGATTCCAGCATGAGGCATCGCTTTTTTTTCGAAAACCAAATAACAGGAAACGTGTTCCTACGAACAACAAATAAAAGTTGTACGGCAGCCCCCTTTTCTAAGATGTGGTTACCATAGTTGAGCAAGCTTTCTCTTGTCGAAGCCTCATTGGCTCAGGGGCAGAGCGTCTGTCTAGTAAACAGAAGGTCGCTGGTTCGATTCCAGCATGAGGCATCTTTTGTTCGAAGACTGGATTATGAGCTTGTGTAGCACTGTCCGTAGTAATGCGAGTCGAGCCATAAATTTAACGTGCATCGATAAAGCTGAAGCCTCATTGGCTTAAGGGCAGAGCGTCGGTCTTGTAAACCGAAGGTCGCTGGTTCGATTCCAGCATGAGGCATCGCTTTTTTTTTCGAAAACCAAATAACAGGAAACGTGTTCCTACGAACAACAAATAAAAGTTGTACGGCAGCCCCCTTTTCTAAGATGTGGTTACCATAGTTGAGCAAGCTTTCTCTTGTCGAAACCTCAGGGGTAGAGCGTCTGTCTAGTAAACAGAAGGTCGCTGGTTCGATTCCAGCATGAGGCATCGTTTTTTTTTCGAGAACCAAATAACGGGAAACATCTTCCTACGAACAACAAATAAAAGTTGTACGGCAGCCCCCTTTTCTAAGATGTGGTTACCATAGTTGAACAAACTTTCTGTTGTCGAAGCCTCAATGGCTCAGGGGCAGAGCGTCTGTCTAGTCGTCTTCCTACGAACAACAAATAAAAGTTGTACGGCAGCCCCCTTTTCTAAGATGTGCTTGCCATAGTTGAGCAAGCTTTCTCTTGTCGAAGCCTCAGGGGTAGAGCGTCTGTCTAGTAAACAGAAGGTCGCTGGTTCGATTCCAACATGAGACATCTTTTGTTCGAAGACTGGATTATGAGCTTGTGTAGCACTGTCCGTAGTAATGCGAATCGAGCCATAAATTTAACGTGCATCGATAAAGTTGAAGCCTCATTGGCTTGGGGGCAGAGCGTCGGTCTTGTAAACCGTAGGTCGCTGATTCGATTCCAGCATGAGGCATCGTTTTTTTTTCGAGAACCAAATAACGGGAAACGTCTTCCTACGAACAACAAATAAAAGTTGTACGGCAGCCCCCTTTTCTAAGATGTGGTTACCATAGTTGAACAAACTTTCTGTTGTCGAAGCCTCAATGGCTCAGGGGCAGAGCGTCTGTCTAGTCGTCTTCCTACGAACAACAAATAAAAGTTGTACGGCAGCCCCCTTTTCTAAGATGTGCTTGCCATAGTTGAGCAAGCTTTCTGTTGTCGAAGCCTCATTGGCTCAGGGGCAGAGCGTCTGTCTAGTCGTCTTCCTACGAACAACAAATAAAAGTTGTACGGCAGCCCCCTTTTCTAAGATGTGGTTACCATAGTTGAGCAAGTTTTCTGTTGTCGAAGCCTCATTGGCTCAGGGGCAGAGCGTCTGTCTAGTAAACAGAAGGTCGCTGGTTCGATTCCAGCATGAGGCAGTGTTTTTTTCGAGAACCAAATAACAGGAAACGTTTTTTTACGAACAACAAATAAAAGTTGTACGGCAGCCCCCTTTTCTAAGATGTGGTTACCATAGTTGAGCAAGCTTTCTGTTGTCGAAGCCTCATTGGCTCAGGGGCAGAGCGTCTGTCTAGTAAACAGAAGGTCGCTGGTTCGATTCCAGCATGAGGCATCTTTTGTTCGAAGACTGGATTATGACCTTGTGTAGCACTGTACGTAGTAATGCGAGTCGAGCCATAAATTTAACGTGCATCGATAAAGCTGAAGCCTCATTGGTTTAGCGGCAGAGCGTCGGTCTTGTAAACCGAAGGTCGCTGGTTCGATTCCCGCATGAGGCACCGGTTTTTTCGACAACCAAATAAATATTGTATGACAGGTAGCATCCTTTTGCTCGAGCAACTAATAAAAGTTGTATGCTCTTTTCCGAACCGTGGTAACCTTAGTTGTAGATTTTCTATAAGGTCGCTGGTTCGATTTCACCAGGAACGATTCCTTCTTTACTAATGGCACTTAAAACGGTGGCCCTTCTGCGTGTGCCTAGCAAGTGGTACCGATAGCCCACTACTGCCTCAGCCAGCCGACAGAGCTCGCGTCAGGCCCCGCATATGCTAAAATAATTACGCTAGCCGTGTGAAATTTCCTACTAAGAGGTTTCGTCGCACGTCATCGCGCTGTGTTGCAATATAAGCCTTAGGGGCAGCGCTATTATCAACATTTATATCGTTTTGAACAACAAATATTCCTTTGATTTGCTGATGAAAAGTTAATGAGCAAATTTACATAGAGTAGAATGTAGAGTCTTTCTAAAGGAAAACGATTATGAAATTCAATTCCTTGTAATATTCAAAAGTTGAAATATTTGAAATTACAAAATGGTGCTGATTATGGAAATTTATTTCTGGTGTTCAAATTGAAGAGAACTTAACGTAAAAGAGAACAGCATAGATTATCAAGAAGTTATTAGATTGCAAAGAAAGTTCCCGAACACATTTGGAAATGTAGAACTCGGCTGCTTGGGTAGCACTTGCATGCCTCCCCCCTTCTGACTTTGTTCTTGGTCGCCGTTCTTCTGCATGAGCATTCCTGCAGAATAGCTACATGTGCGAAGCACGGGGTGGTAGTGTCGCACCGACTTCTCTCTATCAATATGCAGTTGGACAACCATGTCTCGTCCATATAGGCCAAACCGTAATCTAGGTTCTGGCTTCCTGAATGGCTGCGAAATAGGAGATCCTCTTATTGATGATGTTCTTAGTCTTAAAAATATATTGCTGACAGTCGTTCAGCTTACAATTTAGAAAGTTGCCTTGCCCAGACTGAAGCCGGGGTGCGTTGACACGAGCTCATCTCTTAGACTTTTGTTCTTAATGTTGTTAAATAAATTCTGAACGTTCTAAATGTTTTTCAGCTCTCAATTTCTACTGCATGAAATAGCGGATGTTGCTTCCCCATTCTTCAGCGTTTTCTCACAGCCGATATCCACGAAGCTTTCCTGTTTCTTTTCCTGTGCATTGGACCACATGAGTGTTGACTACTACCATATATATTAGTTATGCTTACTTATTTGATGTTGTGCCACAAAACTTGTAAAATTCGCCCTTTAGAGGACAAAGACACAAGCTGAAAAGTAAAGGATAACAATGTAGAAGAAGGGGGTAAATCTAGGGGTATAGTTTTGACAAGTTTGCAAAGTTGATTCAAAAGGTTTTCTGCACTACTTCTCTCCGCGCGCGGTTGCTGTAATGCCGCGTCGCGACAAATTTTATGTGCCACCCTCGTAAAGATTCCTTTGTTGAATATTCTGCGAGCACAGCTTTTGCATGAATTGCTATCACTACATAATTTGTCTGCTCACAGTGGTAATGATTCGAGCATAATCCTAGTTGCCGATAAGGCGCTGCGTAAGCCATACACTAATGGAGAACATTCTCATCAAGATGTCTGGGTGCTCAATTGATACAACATACATATACACATATAGACGCCATGTCTATTAGCCTACCACGGCAGGCGCAAAGACACTATTATTGCTTTTTTGAGAAAATGGTTTATGCTAATTTACCGACTCCCTATTTGCGATTTGAAGGCATTCTCAGACAAAAGAACCACTCTAAAAGATCCATTTTTGTTATGTCTGGCCCTTCCATTATTGCATGGTCTATCAACAAGTTTTATGTTGATACAATCAATAACAGGAACGCTAGCGTTATGAGCCAAAAACGGATTTCTTCATCTTCATCCAAACCTAAAATTTGGTATGTTAAAGTCTGACGCGAAAAATTGGAGAGTTACCAAACTTACCGAGGTTGCTGCAGCTTGTCCGCTTCTTCCAAAATAACTTGGGGCCTGAATTCGTGATAATTTACCATAGAATTGCTCAATGGCGTAGTCTTAGCAAATCAACATTTTTTAAACCTTCTTGTATTAGTAAATTTGAAAATTTTCAAAAGTTAGAAAGAACTCAAGAATGTGGATTGGGATTGTACTGGGTTGGGGAGCTTCGAAGGAGCATTAACTTTTTAGTCTATATATGTTGGATGCCTGCTAAACGGCTACATTTACCAGTCCTTTAGAGTGGCCAGCATCACTTTATGAACGAAGGCTGGCAGACCGCAACATTTGGGCCAAAAATGCAGCTTTCTTTTTCATTAATTTTGCCAACTTCAAGGTGCAACTTCATATCTCTTTAAAAGCGGAAAATAGCCCGTCAACCCCAAGTTAGGGGCCTTGAGCTTTTGGCAGCACACGATAGTAGCTCTTCCTATCAAGCCAGTTCAAGTCGCGGCGCACAATGTCTCTTCGAAAACGAAAAAATCAAAATCGTTCTAAATAACCAAGAGAGCAGAGGACTCTTAGAGACACCGTCCATTCTAAGTTAAGGGACGTCTTGAGCTTTTGGCAGCATATGATATTAGCGCCCCCTATCAAGCCAGTGCCCAAGTCGCAGCGCAAAATCATGCTTCGAAAGCGGGAAAATCGCTCCGAATAACAAAGATGCACGAGGACTTTCAGACAGCACCGCCCTCCCCGTTCCATGCTCGCCCATCCGTGCGCAACCTAAAAACATGAAAGTCAAGGATCTGGGACGGTGCTTTGAGCGGTAACACCCCTCCACCGATGCCCTCCCCCTCCCGCCCCTTCCATCCATGCTCGCTCACTGATTCTCATTCTAGAGAACCCAGATGGAATTGTCGAGTTATTTGTGGATTCTCCACTTCATATCCCCAAACAGAGACTTGAGGCCTCGGAACGACAGAAATATGGAAGTTGGGAACCTGATGTACGGTGCCATTGAATGGCATAGTCATGAACATCATCGGGCACGTTTCGTTGATTCGTTGACCGCACGGACTGCTCAAACGATGCGGACCATGCACGCACCGGCTAAATTGTCGCGAGAGCGCTACCTGTACAATGGCAAATTTGTGCTGGGCAAGGTTTTACCTCGCGGCGCGCTCCGCAGTGATGCCCTGTCCGTGCGGTCAATGAATCAACACGTTTAACTGCAATGCCAAAAAAAACCATCCTATGAATACCGCTACTCACCTTACCTTTTTGTTGCCACATGGCTTGGCGCAAGTCTAGCAGCATTTTCCTTGAGATAATTTTCAACTTTTATGCACTATTTGTTCACCCTCACGGTTTACACTAATTTTGATGTCATATCATTAGCTGTTCACTGCAAATATTTTTTGCTTATATTAGGGGAAGGACTCAACTTTTGGACTTTGCAAGGTCGTGACAGAGCATGTAAGTGCTAGGACTATCTTACAAGGGAGGTCCGTTTCGCCGAAGTGGCCTTTTTATGGGATTCCCAACCAATTTGAAAAGTGTTATAACGATGGCTTCAAGTCTCTCTTTGTGGCGGCTCCGTGGGCCCTAAGCACCTAGAATTACCCGAGACACCCGCACGCTCGCACGCTTAATACATACGACGCAACCTATCCTACTAACTCGCCCTACGCGCGTCTGAGCAATACATTAAATACTAAGGTTTTATCCTTATGACATCAAAGGATAATAAAAGCTACATAAAAACTTACAACTGAACTAGAAGAAAGCTACTAGAATCAAGACTAAACTACCGAACGATAGTAAGCTCTACACGGAACGGGCTGCCCCATCCCGTGCTACCGATGAAGCGCGTCTACTATGAATTCTAACAATAGAAATGCTCCCGAGGCTTCACCTACACAGATCCGTTGCGCGTCGCCGGATACCAGGCGCGACAGCCTCTCCGCTCCCAAAGTTCGTAGTATGTAAATGTCTCAAATCTCAAAAGCTCCAAAAAATGGCGCGTCCAAAAAGAATCCCAAATCAAGCGCGAATTCTAGATTAGTAGAACTTCCGATCCGCTCGACCGCTAACGCAAAAGAGACATCAAAAGCGGAAGCTAACTGCCAAGCACGAGCACAATAGAAAACATAAGAAAAGATTATTGATCGAAAGCGAAGGCGAACAGAGGCTGCAATAAGGCGCCGCCGCTTATATTGCCTTTTGGCTGGCAACGCGCTAAGGCGAGGAGAGGTCCAGCGGCGATTGCGGCAAGCGTGGGAAAGTACCGCAATTGTCGCCGGATAGCGCGGCAGCAACCAGTGCTTCCAACCTCCTACTTCCAGGAGCGCTCGCATCGCAAAACCGCGACACTCTTCCTTAGCTAGACGCTTCTGTACGCCAAGGTATGAGCGCTTCTAAGCTTGGAGATTTGAATACACAAGTCGAACAAACGTCCAGAAGTGTGCTTGAATGACTCAGTTACTTCATTTATTAGGTTCTGTCTTATACACACATATTTGAAACTGCCCTAATGAAAAGACCAAAACGGTTGATTTTACCTAAATTTCGCGTTCGCTTTTGCTCCAAAAAATCATAACGTTCAAAGGCGCTTGGCAGATAGTGAAAGTAGATTTGGAATCAGCGTGCTCCTCAAAGAAAACTTATTTGAAAAGTCTACTTTGAACAAAGGGACCTCCGGCCGCATGCATTAACATCCCCGCAAGGGAGGAGATCGCAGTTCAGAAGAGAGCTTCATATCCTGAAGTTTTAGATATCTGGATTTCACGTTGCCTACCTATCCGTAAGTACTTCCATCAACCTTTACTATTTAGAAGCATCTTGAACAGGAGCGAGAAGCTGTACAAGCCCATTTTCCAGCTTTTGTATAATCCCTTGGTGATCCCCGGCGGCCGAACGTCTTTTCTTCAAAGTCGTTTTTCTTTCTTCAAAGTCAACGAAAACCTTCCAGATTGTACTAATTATCTAACCCAACAATGCTAAGCATGATGCTGATAGAAACAAATGAGTTTTTGGAATATCGATTTTTTCGGAAACATCACTTCTTACAAGAAACATGATTAGCATGTTGAACAGCACAACTTTAGAATGTTTTTATTGACTTCAAAAAAAAAATGACTTCAAAGAAAAGACTGTCGGCAACCAGGGATCATCAGGGGATCCAACAAAAAGCTGGGAAATACGGCTGTGCAGCTTCTCCCGTTCAATATGTTCATAGTGAAGGATTGTGGGATTACTTACGGATAGGTAGACAGCGTGAAATCCAAATACTAGAACTGGAGCTTCAGGATATGAAGCGTTCTTCTGAACCTGTGACCCCTTCTCCGGCGACAATGTTAATGCATGTGGCTCTTAGAAAAAAAGTTTCATATTCTGAAGTTCCAGATATCTAAATTTCATGCTGTCTATTTACCCGTTATTATTCCTGCTATCCTTCACTATAAACATACCGAACAGGAGCAAAAAACAAGCCGAATTATCCAGCTTTTTATACGATCCCTGATGTTCCCCAGCGGCCAACCGTCTTTTCTTCGAATCCATTTCTCTTTATCTTCAAAGTTAACAAAAGTGCGCCAAAGTTTTACTGATTAGCTAACAGAACAATGCTAAGCAGGTTTTCGAATAGGAACAAATAATGTTCCGAAATAACGAAATTTTCGCGTCTCCTTTCGCGTTCGAAATCTCCAACTTTAGACCTGCGGTTCCAGCAAATTTCATAATTTCAAAAAAAAAAACATATCAGAATCATGCTTAGCACTGTTCTGCTAATCAACTTTCGCTTTTCAATGACGCGGTCAGCCGCCGGGGATCATCAAAGACCATACAAAAGCCGGGAAAGTGCGGCTTGTACAACATCTCGCTCTTGTTGAGCACTTTGTGAAGAATAGTAGGAACACTTACGGGTAAGCAGAAATCCAGACCGTGAAATCCAGACATCCGGTGCTTTAGATTATGAGGCTTCTTCTAAGCTGCGATCCCTCTTCGTGGGAATATTGGTGTATGTGACCCTTAGCTTGTACATGCTCATAATAGGAATGTAGGAAATTACATATCTATGATAAACTTTCCCTCCCAGAAATGCGTATGTCATTCATTCCTGACCATAGTAGAAAAAAAAAGTTTTGCAGCCATAGCATGTTTTTCTCACATCTAGGCACTCAATAACTTTGTGCAATTCCATATGTGCAATAACAATTCACTTTCAACACCGCACTACCGCAGTGCTCCAGGTAGGGGACGCCAATAGGCTCCACCCAACGAGGACAGCCGTTACAAATCCGTTATGTCTGCGATACGTGCAGCTGCGTAATTTGTTCGCAAATGTCCGCTTAGCAACCACTCTCGGCGATATATGGGAGTAAAGGACTACATGTCGACGAAAGTGGGAGGGTCCTGCGCGGACTATGCAGCAGATACTCGGCCGGCCTGTGTTGGAATGTGGATTTGTTGCACATTCCGGCAGGACCTCCCACTTCCGGCGGCATATAGTCCGCTACTGGTCCTCCACTCGGAATTGACGCCCTGCTACTGCAATAGTTTGTAGTGGGATTCGCCGAAGTTTCATCTCAAAACTCAGGAGCCGCCCCTGGCAGCAATCCTGGCATATGACCTGACAAGGGAAGGAAGGTTGGTCGAAGTGGCCTTTTAAAATGAGGTTTACACTGCTTTGTAGAGCTTACGCTGTTTCCGAATCTACCTTTGCTATCTGCTGAGGGCTTCTGGTCGAGGAGTTATGAAGGTTTTTGTGAGTAAAAATCTGAATGCAAAAATAGGGTAAAATCGGTCGTAACCTTTTCCCAATGTTCAAATGAGGCAGCAGCGAATTGGCATATTTGAATCAAGATTACTCGTTGCACCGAGTGACCCGACTACCAATTAAGCCCTATAGAAAATGTTACGACTGATTTTACCCTATTTTTGCATTCAGATTTTCACTCACAAAAACCTTCATAACTCCTCGCTCAGAAGCCCTCAGCAGATAACAAAGGTAGATTTGGAATCAGCGTTCCAAGCTCTACAAGGCTGTTACATCTCATTTCAAAGGCCACTTCGATCAACCTTCCTTTCCTTGTGAGATAGCCTACAGCTTTGAGACTTAATCGAATTACTCTGAAGTGTTTAGAATTGCATGAATGTCATTTTTTATAATTTAAAAAATTCATCAGTAATTAGGACGTCAAAACCTTTCACTTCAGTCTTCATTTTGTGACAAAACAGTGGCTGCGGAATTGAAGTAAGGAAAACCCTGAGTATAGACGTTTATTGTGCGATGCAAGACAGGACTTTTTGGAGGAAAAATTTCCGAAAGTTTGAAACTTGCCGCTTTCAAATAAAGTAGCCGAAATTACCTCGTACACACTTACTCGAAGCCTGACACAAGCTTTAGCAGGAAGTTTTGCGTCTAATCTATAGTTTCGGTGATAAATAGGCGTAGTGCCTTCATCAAAAATGCTTACTGACTCAGCTGTATGATTCCCATTTTGATTGTACGAAAAAGTATCGAAATCTCGGAAATTAAAAACAGAAAAAACTGCATCAAACGCTTTTTAATTCAATCCATTCCAAGTCGTTCATCGACGGGCTTAAGATAACAAGATATTGGGTTTGTAGACAACATGTCCAGTATGTTTCAATGCATTTAGGATTGTCATAGATGATTATCGATGGACATTCCTGTCTATCGTGCTGCCAAATTCACTATGTTTATAGTACACACACTGATGAGCGCAATCTTCTCGCTTCGCATTCATCCTTTTGCAGCGAGGCTTGAGCGGTCACATAATTAGGGCGTTAAACAACGCCAAATCTTCCCCCCCCCCCCCAATATTTGTAGACGGACCTTGAAGGCAACTCGGCAAAATTTGGCCTTCCAGTTTTTCACCTATTCGTAGCCTTCTCGCCATGAGGAACCCATGTATGGGCTTTTCGGCGCATAAAAACGACGAAAATAAGGCCTTTAAGAAACTTTTCAAGGCTGCATTCAATGAAAATACGTCGCTATTCTTTTGCCCCCGACTCCCTTGTTCCGGGCCCCGCTCACTTACACACATTTTCCACTAAATACCTGGAAAACTTCAGAAAAAGCTCATTCCTATTTTCATGCGCTGAAAAGCTCAAAAATGGATTCCTCAAGGCGAGAAGGCTTCGAAAAAGTGAAAAACTGGAAAACGAAAGTTTGCCGGGACACTCCCTTTCAGTGACTTGCTGCAGCAAACTTTTTCCTTATAAAGTCTACTTCTGATACAATTGGAGAAGCCACAAACTTACTTTATCTGAAATTGCATTTGCCTGGAGTGCAGCAAGTTTCTGCACATTTGACACTATAGCTATACAAAAAAGGATGAACAAATGCATCGATGTGTGAAAAAAGGTGTCTGCCAAGTGTACGTATAAATAAGCTCTTTTAAAAAATTTACAATTGGCATTCAATAATTCTACAACCACGACAAACTTGTCGATTCTGGAATTTTGTTGACATAAAAAACTGTCAATCTCGCATGAAAAGAGCATATGCGAGTCCATTTTAGTCCAGTCCATTTTTATGTCCACTTTTCAGGCTACATTTATGGCTTCTAAAATTTTTGAAAAGATGGTAAAGTTGCGGATAAATACGTTATTCAATATAAATAATAATGCTATGTGGTGTGAAATGTTGTTCATGCTAATACTCACAGGGGCTTAAACCAGTTTACAGGATTTGCTAATGCATGGATCACTCTTCCCATGACCCTTTTGAAAGTTATTGGTCCCGCTACAAAGTTCGGTGGACGCATTTTTATCTGGTCTGGCGAGACGGTCGAGACTCCGACATAGCTGCCGGGTGGACGCATTTTTATCTGTCCTGGCGCGACTGTTGAAACTCCTACATAGCTGCCGGGTGGACGAGTCTTTACCCTTTGTGGCGATACCGTTGAAAGCAATGAAAAGAATAGTGCGAGAGCCACTAAGCTCATCCTGAAAACAGTATTTTGATTTCTCAATTTCTCTTCGGATAGAGGAATCCATATAAGGGCAGACCAATTTTGTAAAGGCTACTGCATGACGAAGGCGCAGAAGCATTTTTAGTTGAGCGGGCGCGAACGTTGCGCGCGCGTATCTTCACCGTTGTAAATCCTGCTTCCCATGCGCTCTGTGGCTAATAGAGCTGCGTTCGCGTCCAAAGATATCGCCTTCGTCATGCAGCATATAGATTTATCAATTATTTGGTAAGAACTTAGTTCAGCTCAGTCATGCACATTTGAAAAGTCACTCAGACATGTATTTCAACTACAAGTTGTGCTTCCTGATCTGATAGAAGAAAAGAGATACATTGCTCAAAGGCAGTGACTCGGATGCGACGCCGGCTCTGCATACCTACATGGCCTTCTGGTTGCGCTGAATCCAGTGCTGGGCTTGAAAAGTCAAAAATTGCTTTTTACAGCATTCCTTCCTTTTTCCTTTGGAGATAGCCGGAAAGATTGGGCTAGGAATTTCCGCCATAAACAAGGACTAGTTGCAGAAGCTGTAATTACCCATTCTGGAGGTAATTGGCTGATCGGCTCAGGCAGCCAATTGCGATGTTAGCAGTCCAGCTATTCCAGGGTGGGAAAACGCCGTAAAAAGCACTTTTTTGACATTTCAGACGCAGCAGCAACACAAATTTTTGGAAAACAGAGAAGACTATCAGAGCGCTCACCGACTGATGTTCCACCAAATATGGTATTACATTCATCGCTACATTAAACCCAGGAATAGAAAATGAGTTTTCACGAAATTTTTAATTCTGAATTGACTCCTCGAAAAAAATGTCTTTGAAATTTTGGTTTTGAAGAAATCAACAGAATATCTGCAAATACCATTGAGAAAACTCCTAACTATCAACTTTCACCTCATCGGAAGAAGTCACCATTGAACTTTATGCTCGAAATTTCAATGAAATTTCGGTTTTATGTATCGTCGATTCGTTGACCGCACGGACTGCTCAAAGCTGCGTCCCGCGCGCGGCGCGGCTGAATTGTCGCGAGAGCACGACGTTACAACGGCGAATTTGTACTAGCGCAAGCGCTTTACCTCGCGGCGCGTACTCCGCAGTGCGTCCAGTCCGTACGGTCAACGAATCAACTATATTACAGGATGAGTGCGAGCTAATGTGTGTGTGCAAAAAACAATCCCTTACGGTGCAAATTATATGCTAGTTAAGCTCGCTGACGGTTCATGACCTCTACACCTAAGTTGCGGTAAGCCTTAGGGTGAATAATTTCCATCACGAAGTTCAGTAAATCAAATTTATTGGCCGATGTCGACTTTCCGAAAATGCGGTCGCACTGGAATTCTAAGTCTTCATGTTTTGGAGCGGTGATGCTCATTTACCTTTTGAACCGTTAGTATCATCAGGTTTTGAGATCTCATATTTTGTAGTCTCTCAAGCATTTCGTATGTGCAACGCACTCCCTTCGAAAGTGACGTTTTTTTTTTTGAAAATTTTTGAAAGAGCAGCTAGATTGCTATGTGAAAGGTTTGCTCAAATTCTCAAACTCATTCAAATGCTTTTTCAAAACCTGAGATGGAAACAAAAGTTGCCCAAGTGTGGATGATGTTGAAAACTTTGCGGTTTACTGAGCGTTCGCAATTAAAATCACTTTTCATAGTTCCAAGAGCCAAAGAAACCTTACATTGGACATGTTTAAACCTTTAAAAGCAGCGTCCGGGCAAATTTCGGATAAAGCTTTTTTTGCTAACCTAAGCTTTTCCTTCCCGGTGATTCCGAAAATAAAGCTTGGAGATCCCGAAAATGTCGAAAACGAGCTATTTTAAAAGCTTTGATTTTTAATTTGGACTCTGCCGCCAAGGTTTCGTTGCGGACCATACGTCTTAAATATGTGCGATATGCGCTCTGTGCGGTATGCGCACACTAGCTTATCGAATACTCGTTCCGGTCGCCGGTCAGTTCTGGTCGCCACTTCTGAAGCGGTTCTCTCGTTTCAGAAGCATATTGGTGCAGTGCCAATTGAACGCTAGTTTTATCAGGGCGGGCGCTCCAAGTTTTCATATCTGGCCGAACTCTGCCTTTGAAGGCATCGTCCAGGCAAATCTGGGCCGGAGGGTAATCTTAGAGCCCTAACTATAACACTGCCCAAGCGGCAGCTCAAATAGTGAGCTGCCGCTTGGGCAGTTGAGATATTCGTCTCCAAACTGGACCCCGGGATCGTATTCGAATGGATTCATGGCGCGACACGCGTGGGTCGCGCAAAGCTGATGTGCCGCGCCATGAATCCATGCGAATACGATCCCGGGGTCCAGTTTGGAGTTTGAACATCTCAACTGTGAGCTCACTGGCTGCCGCTTGGGCAGTGTTTTAGTTAGGGTCCAAGATTACCCTCCAAGTGAGATCTCCATAGGCCCAGATTTGCCTGGACGCTGCCTTTAACTATATTTGCTCTACGTAATTCGGTAATCAAAAACTCTTTGTGAGAATTTGTTGTTTCTATCCCGAGAATTAGTAGAATTCAATCCAGTTCTAGCAATTTTTTCATTTCAATTTTTTTTCAATTTTCCATCCTCCAGATTTTCCGCGGATCCGGTACTGGATGACAGGAGAGCTTAGGACCCAACGGTAGTTCCACTGACGCCAGATCGCTGGAAGGCAAGCCCTACGTCCGCCACCCTGTCTTTACATTTCTTAGCTCTGGATATCGAAAAATAACTACGGAGAACAGAGTGGTAATACTGTACAGTACAGGAGGAGAGTTTGGAAAGTGATGCCTCTTGTGTCAGTACATGTTGAGAAAACATTTAGCTTTACTTTTTGAGAAAGAAACCGCTTTTTCGAGTAAGAACAAAGAAACCGAAAGTTTTTCGGTGAGACAAACTGGAAAAAATATAATGAGTATATTTAGAAAATGTCGACGCTTTTATATATCGTGCTAGAAGGCACGGGCATAAGAACATTGATTTTTTACTCATATCTTTGCAATAAATGGTGTACAGCCGTGGATATAGCGTTAATTCAACCAAAATTGTTCTAACAGGGTTTGACAAATGGTATAAAATTATTATTGTGCACTTACAGTGCCCTAAAACATAGAGATCAATCGCGTATGCTATCCCGAAAAAAATTTGTTAGAATTTTACGTCTTGCTAAATGCCTTTGTTCCATGTTTTTATGCCCAGCATTGCAGAAATCTTTTACAGAGGTTTTGATATAATATCGGTTGTCCGGAAATCAGTGACAGAATTTCAAACGCAAAGTCATATATTTCTCATTTTTAAAAAGTTCGAAACGACCATTGATCTCCGAACAGCCTAGTAATATTTATAATAGTATTCAAAGCGCCATCCGATGGAGCAAAGCAAGCTTTACATAAAGGAGTGCTTACTTTTGCACCAGCTGCACCTCGAGCTTGAAGCCAAAAACAGTTAGCGGCCCAAAAATTTAAGGAAAATTCGTAACTTGTTCAAAAAATTCTGCTGAAATCCCGACTTGCCCATATATACACTTTCCACATCATAAGTTTATGCCGTTGCTATATTTTTCTTCTCGGTTAGAAACCAAGAAAGCGAAAATTCCTTACTTTGCTAAAGTGATTTGCGCTGTTCCCAATAAATGATTCTACAAGTCTGTAAAAGTGCGAAGGTAAATTTTCAGCACTTCACCATTTAATCCTCAAAAAATATCGAATACAGCATTTTTTAGTCTGCTATCTCAAAATCCATATTTCTTAAGAACTAAAGCTTGTGGAGAGCCAAGTTTACGTTTGTACTCTTACAGTTTTGTAGTATACAATTACTCATGTAAAAACAGCGCTTATGAGCATGCAAACTTTCGCTTTCTTGACTTCTAACAGAAGAAAAAAGGCAGCAAACAGTATGGCTGAATGGTCTGATATGGAAGTGTACGCGACCAAGTAAGAATTTTGTACGGTTTTTGAATGGAGCTACGATTTTTTTTCTCGACTTTTCAGGCAGTTGGATCCATTTAGTTTGTGGCTTCAAGATCTGGGAGGATTGAAGCTGTTGAAAAAGCAAAAACGTCAACTTGCGAAGCTTGCTTTGGTCAATTGAATGACACTTTTAAACCCATTTTGATATTAGAAGCCTATGACTTATTGCGGTTGAAATACGGGCATTAATTTCCGAACAACCTAATGAGTTGGCACGAAAGTTCTTGCGTAAATATTAGGTTGTCCAGAAAGTTTTGTCCGTTTTTTCAAACAATTATAAACCCAGGCACAATAAAGATCTGAATAAGCTTCAACATGCATTCGATGCAGCTTTTCCTCCTCTTTCTAACGGATACATTTTCGAACCATAATCTTGTATGCTTTTTTGGTATTGCCACCAAAAATCTCCACACGTCAACTTTATCTAATTAAAGTTAGGCTAATTCTTGAAAATTTCATTCCAAAGTTTCGGAAAGGGTTAGGTATGGATCAAATAAAGCAATTCTCGGACTCAACATAACATTTTAATATTCTCCTAGTCTGCTGTTCTTAGCCTTAAAAAATTATTTCTTTGGAGGTCTCGTTTTTGGCAAACTCACGAAACACGCAACTGCCGCCAATACACGAAAGCAACTGAAGTTTCTGCGAATTGAAACACGATTCTTATTAAACATATTTTATTCAACATAATCAGGTTTGGTTTGCTTTGAAAAGCATTTTGGAATTTTCGATACTTTTACGTGGTAAACGTAATCAAAAAGGTGCGATTTTTATTAAACAAAAAATTATGCAGGAAACGATAAGCGTCGCATATGTAGCCTAAAACGGACACAATGTAGCCAAAGATTTGCTCTACATACCGGTTATCAACGCTCTTTAAAACATTAAAAGAAAAATTTTTAAAATTTAGGAAATTTTTAAAATTCGAGAAAAATTTGGCGTTACTGCTAAGCTGCTCAAAAAGCCATGGCGATAACATTCTTGAGAAAGTGTAGATCAGAGAGCAAACATAGCTGTAAGAAAGAGGATAAAAG